TGGTGGTTAGCTCAGTAGTACTTGGCTGCAAATTTTCCATCATTCAATGTGGGGACACGTGCTCATATGGACGTTTCCAGACAGTCTGAGGTTGACAGTATGCTGAAGTCGAATGTGTTTTGGGATGATGGAGCGCTTTCTTCTCCAGTCCTTGTCTCCTCTGAAGGTGAGGACAGACTGCTCCACATGGAGCACGTGGCTAGGGGCATACAGCCTGGGCCTGCAGGGAGGTTGCTTGACGTGTTGTCAGCATGTCCCAATGTGGGCAGCTGTGTGCTTCATCTCAGGCCACACAGGGATGCAGGGCTAGCCAGGACCAAGCAGAAGCTTACTATGAAATGTCTCTGATCGTGCCTGAGACTCCGTTTCCCCTGTGTGACGTGGGTATTTGTAAGAGTGCAATGAGGGCTGGTACACAGGTTTTGGCAGATGTTGGGACTGTTAGCTTCCCATAGATGTCAATGGGTTACAGCTCTTGTATAGTGAGTGGAATCACATGAGGGGAGCCCAGGAACAGAGGTCCCCTCACTCAGGAAGTTTGCAGCTTCCTGAAGGTCGGTCAGTGGGGTACCCAGGTCCTACGGGGACTGTGCAGACATTAAATTGGAGGTACTGGGTGAGACCTTATTAGAGGTATCCAAAGAGAGACCACACAGGGGAGAAGGACCCCTGGGCATCTGGCCAAGGAGATTTGAATCCCTGCAGGCTCTCCCACTGGAGGATGTGAGAGTGGGGGCTCCAGCTGGAGAAAAAGAGTCCAGAAAGCATTTGGGTGTTGAGTGTGGACTAAGCTATCTCCTTCAACCCCACAAGCACCTGGGGTACACAACCTGTTGATAAACACATAGTGAGGGCAAGGTGGGCCAGGGAACGCAACCTAGGTCTCTGCTCTTTCCACCCCATGGTGTTGACCAATTTGTTCTAGCATGGGGAAAATACTGGAAGGTCTGAGTGCCCCTCTGTGGAAGTTCTCAATTCAATTAAGCCAATTAAGGTCTGAAAGATGAAAGAGCATCAAAATGGCACATTCCCTGCCCTTGCAATGCCTACAGGCCGTCCTCGGCAAGCAGCCCAGGCCGGAAACCGTCAGACCTGCAGAACTGATGGAGCCAGTCACTTCTGTTTTTGGCGATTTCAGTGATGGCTTCTGCCCTTATGCAAACTGGGGGAGGCCACTGTCCAGGCTTACAGGGAGCCCAGGGAGCAAATATCTGCTCTCTCCAGCAGCCACAGCCACTAAAAGTGGACCTAAACTGATGGGCTGCTAATTGGGCTGTGGCTGGTTGAGTTCACCAAATAGGAAGTTAGAAATCATGCCCAGCCACAGCTCACCTTGTCTCCATGCATCCAGGAAAGTAACTCTGCCTTCCCACAGCTCTGGGATCCTCCTTGATGGGCAGGCCCTCATTTACTCATTCCTCCAAGGCCGTATCCCCATCCAGGGCTGACCCCATGGTGGACCTCCTACTGGTTCAATGGGCAACAGCATATCTCAGAGAACTAATGATCCAGCGAGAAGTTGTTCACCACATATATATTGCCAAGCACAGAGAAATAGGAATGAGCTGAAGGAGTAGAGATTCTGCAGCAATTACTTTGGGCTGGAAAACTAATTGGCAGAAACTTTCTGGGAAATGGTTCATTGGAATTGTGACTAAGAGACTGCATTAGAGGTCAGCAGGTGGAGATGGGAGAAAGGTTGTTGTGGGCTGTTAGGGCTCAGAGTTGTGTGGTTGTGGCAGAGTGATCGATGACTCTGAGTAGGCCAGTGTAGGGTGTAGTGGACAGGCCAGGGGAAGGTGCTTTGAAGGAATTTTGAAGGTGTTTTGCTTCATGGGACTGGGATGGAAACAGAAGGCACCGCAGGACCTGTCATGATGGGAGAAAGAGGGATGGTGGTGACCTAGAGTGGTATGGCAGCCAGTTGCTTGGCCTGAGGGAGATCTCAATGGCAGTAGACACGACGGGGTTTACTTGGTGTGGGTAAAATGGGGAATGCTGCAGTGGGGGAGGACCAGCAGGGCCAGATGATAGGGTGGGAGGGCTTGGCCTCAGGGCAGTGGCAGGGGGACAGGACACCTCCATCTCCAGCAGTCCGTCTGGCTGTGGGGAGGGAACACAGCTTGACCTCATCAGAAGCTCTGCCTAGTATCCTCACCGTGAGTCACCACAGATCCGATTGGCCACCACAACGCCAGCAGCGCAGTCAGGAGCAGCTCAAGGACCTGGTGCGTCTCTGTCTGGCACATCAACTGTTGCTTAAGTGAGTGTAAGGCCACACTGAGGGTCACGGACAAAGTAGGAGGGGGAGGACAGAACTGGCCTAGTCAGGTGAGGGGTGAGGGGGAGCCACAATGTCCACCAGGGTCCCCAGGCTTGAGAAATGATGCCAGAGGGCTGGGAAGGTGGCTCAGTGGTAGAGCGCTTGCCTTGCATGCCTGAGGCCCTGGGTTCGATTCCTCAGCACTACATAAGCAAAAAGAAACAAGCCAGAAGTGGCACTGTGGCTCAAGTGGTAGAGCGCTAGCCTTGAGCTGAAGAGCTGAGGGACAGCGCCCAGGCCCAGAGTTCAAACCCCCAACTGACAAAAAAAAAAGAGCAAGAATTTCTGTTGAGCCCATTCATCATCCAACAGATCCTTCAGTCCTCCCCCAAGCCCACAGCCACCCTACTGCCTCTCTTCTCCAAGAGGCTGGAGAGGCTGAAGAGATGAAAGGCTCCAAAGGAACCAAATCCTCCATCTGGCTTCCTTTTCAGAAAGGGCCCCTGTGGCATCCTTAGACAGCTCAGTTGGCCCAGCTAAGGCCCTGGGGCTGCACGAGCAAACTCAGAAGCCTCACTTGCTGAGGGCATCCGAGCCTGGGGCAGGTGCCAGCCACTACTCTGTCTGGGCTGGCAGGGTTTGAGGACCAGTGAGGACCAATGTCACAGTTTCGCTGTCTGGTGTCCTTGCACACATCATGTTCAGAATGCCTGCTCATTGCTCACCTTATACTCAGTTAAGCAGAAGGGCCACAGCCCCTCCTTCGTGTCCAGCATCTATCCACTCCCTCTCTCCCAGTCTCCCCACATGCCCCCATGGTTCTTAGCTTTGGAGCCTGATCTTGTGTCTATAGCTTAGTCTTGGTTGATGCCCTGTCCTCAGAACTAAGTGCTGAGCACTTAGTTGGTACTCAGTAAATATCTGTAAGACAACCAACTGAAAAGGAATGAGTGAGAGGTTTGTGAGAGTGGAAGAGGATAGGAAGTCGTGTGTCTACTATTTTGTTCCCACATCTTCCAGAAATGAGGGCTGCTCCAGGTAGAAAGTTCTAGAAAGTTAACATGTAGGTGCTTAAACTTTAGAAATGGGATGGGCATTTTCTGAAGTGCCTCTTATGCCCAGCAGACATTATGGACAGTGATGTATACATGTGCCCAAAAGCAGAGGCTGGGGGATAGGTTTTTAGTTTGTTCGTTTGTTTTGATTTGTTTCCTACAGCTTCTGCTTTTCCTTAAGAGTTATGGTGACCTTAGTACTCAGCATCCAGTGGAGAAAAGGGGGCTCATAAGAACGAGGCTGTTGGGCTCAGAGTGAAAAGTGGGGCTTTTCTGTAAACAAAGGCCACTAACTTGGCCACCTCTATTTTGGCTATGTAAGAGGACACTTTGCTTTCTTCTGGGCTCTAAGGTATTGTGTTTCCATGAGTGGTTCTAGAAACCTGGGTGGACGATGGCTAAGTTCTGATTCCAAGAGGATCATTCTGAACCTGAAGCATCCCCAAAGGTGAGAGGTTAGACCCAACTGAGCATGTTGCCAGGAGAGATGTTTGCTGATGGGAAGGCCAAAGCTGTGTGCATTGAGGCTTACTGGATCAGTTCCAGAAGGACATGGCATGTTTAGGATATGACCTTGGGGCATGTTCCTGCTTACATATAGAGTAGGCAAGAAGGAGGTAGGAGAGCAAAGCTGCAGAGGGCTGCAGACCAGCAGAGGAAGCGGGCAGGAGAGCACTATGGTCCCAAGCATCTGGCCCTGTGAAGGCCACACAGGGCAGTCTAGGTGACAGCTTCTTGGGTGATGTGAGCATCAAGTGATGTGGGGAGACCGTGAGAGCAATGACTGGTCTTTTGTAAAGAGGAGCAGGCTGGATGCTGTCAGCGTGGGAGGTCTTAGAAGCCCCGTAACTCTGTGCTGGGGGCTCGCGACTTCACAGAGTCACCAGTAACGGTGGCTGCCCTTTCCTGATCGCTCCCCTAATTCGGTGCTCCCATCCTTTCCATCCCACCTCCTTCCAGCCCTCCTTTTGTCCTCCTCTCCATCTCCCTCCCTCTGGGGCTCCTTCCCCACCTCCTGGTACCCTCAGGGTCACAGAAACACCCTGCACACTAAGCTTTGACCTGGAGCCCAGCTGGTCCTGGCCATGGCTCAGCCTGTTGCCTAGAGCCCTGCACCACCCTGGGCCTGAAACTTCAAGCCACAGAGGCTGTGCCTGAAGACCACGGGAGACTTAGAGTATGCCCGCCGACTTGGGCGAGTCCGAATCAAATCAGACCAAGGAGGGAGGTGGGGGACCAGCAAGAAGCTGGTAATAGGGCACTGATGACCCACCCGTGTGGGGCCTTACTTCAGGGGGTTTCCGAATGAACTTGAGGGGCAGGAGGGTAGCTAGCAGCAGGCCTCAACATTTCCTCCTTCCCCACCCAGCCAAGCCCTCCCAGGTCAGGTGCTAGGGGTGGGCACAATGGGGGAGCAAGGGGGCTGGTAGGTGGGGCCAGGCTAGGAGGGGATTTTGCACTTGGTGAGACACGGTTTTCACTGAGTGAAAATTTATAGAGGATATTCTGGAAGACTGGACCTTAGTTTTGTCTCAACCACACCCCCAGACTCTTGTCACCTCCTTCTCCCCAGGTACCCATACTTGGCCACTTCCCTACCAGCACCTCACCTTGCTCAGCACGGGACCTAAGGGGCCAGCTGTCCATAGCTGTGGCTGAGCTGAACCTGCACCCGTGAGAAGATGGGCGACATGGCCAACAGTTCCATTGAGTTCCACCCCAAGCCTCAGCAGCGGGACGCCCCGCACGCTGGTGGCTTTGGGTGCACGCTGGCTGAGCTGCGTGCCCTCATGGAGCTCCGAGGGGCCGAAGCACTGCAGAAGATTCAGGAAGCCTACGGGGACGTCAGCGGGCTCTGTAGAAGACTGAAGACTTCGCCCACTGAGGGTAAGTCCCTCTGTGGGCAGGGCTGCAGCAGTGCCTGGTAACACAGGGCCTGCTTACTCCACAGGCCATGGTCATGGCCACGGGCTCTGCAGTGCTCCCGCAGAGGCGGGAGGGGCTCTGAGTAGAGGGGGACCCAGGTGACTCTTGGAGGACTTAAACAATGGCATCCTGACTGCGTCCTCTCAACCCCCTCCCTCAAGTGGAAAATGTTCTTGGTGGGGAGCAACTATTTTCCTCTAGGTCCTGGGGATGGCCTGACTCCTTACCTTTATCTCCTTAATCAGTTATTCTGCATGTGTAGAGTAAGGGGGGGGGATAGGTGGACATGGACACCTATAAGGCATGCACACACAAGTGGAAGGCCCTGGATGGAAATCCTGGAATCCCAGGATTGATGGAGGAGGAAGATGGTTGTGTGTATCTGGGGGCTGCCTATGTCCCCAGTTCTCATTCCTATGTTCAGTTAAGAGAGATCAGAAGATCTGGGCACCGGTGGTTCATGCCTGTAATCCTAGCTACTCAAGAGGCTGAAATCTGAGTATCGTGGTTCAACGCCCAGGCAGGAAAGTCTGTAAGATTCTTATCTCCAATTAAACACCAGAAAACCAGAAATGGTGCTGTGGCTCAAGTGGTAGAGGGCTAGCCTTGAGCTGAAGAGCTCAGGGACAGCACCCAGGCCAAGTCAGGCCCTACAACCAGAAAAAAAAAAACCCAAAAACAAACAAACCAAAAAACATCAGAAGAGGGGCTGGGAATGTGGTTTAATGGTAGAGTGTTTACCTAGCATGTGTGAAGAATTAGTACCATATAAACAGTAAAAGCCAGAAGTGGTGCTGTGGCTCAAGTGGTAGAGTGCTAACCTTGAGCAAAAGAAGCTCAGGGACAGTGCCCAGGCCCTGAGTTCAAACCCCAGAACTGGCCAAAAAAAAAAGGAGAGAGAGAGATGAGCAGAGGAGGAAGGGGTACAGGGTGGAGGCCCAACTGGGCCACAGGAGACCTTCTCTGACGGGGGGGGGAGGGTTAACCTGGGAATGGTACAGGGACATTTGATTCTGATGGGAAAAGTGCCTGAAGCTACTCCACAGCAGCCCCAGAGTACCAACTGGAAGTGATAGTGTTCACAGGCTGTCCCAGAGAGATGCCAGTCTGAGAGGCTCAAGGCAAAACTTGGTGAGCATCCTCTGGGAGGATATGGATGGAGGCCTGACTGCCATCTTGGATCGCCATCCGATGGAAGCAAAGCTGTGCCCTTCCCTCAGCCAGTCTGCCTCAGTCCTCATGTTGGGGTCTGCTATGAGGCAGGGACCACCCAGGAGCCCCAGCCAACCCCAGATTTCAAGAGCTGGAGCACTCTCTGGCCCAACTGGCCCAGGCCTGGCAGGATTGCCAGGCTATCCCAGCCTGATGCCAGGTCTGCTTCCCAGCCAGCGCTGATTGATTTCTTCAGCTGCCCATCTCACTGGCAGCACCTTGGCCCACCCGGTGCTGCTAGTCCTGGCCATCATCCGGGGCTCCTCCTGGTCCCTGGCACCCTTGTCTGATCCATCACCAGGTCCTGCCCATTTGGGTTTCTAAATTGATCCGTTACTTGCAACACTCCTGTCCATTTCCTCTACTCTGGTCTGGATTCAGCCCACTCCTTCCAGCCTCCTTGCCTAGCGCTTGCCCCCCACTTGGAGACTTGAGGTCCCAAACAGGTCCTATTTTTCTGGCCTCACCAGAGTTGGGACTCACAAAGCACCACCTGACTGCGGCCAGTGGAGCATGAGTCCCAAGGAGGAGTCAAAGTGGGGAGAGGCAGGCCTGGGGACCCGGCAAGGAACTCTGAGGAGGAGTGCCTCCCCAGGCCACTTGGGTCTCCCTATGTGGCACTGTCCCGCCTGCTGCATGCACCAGCCTGAAGCAGCATTCTGTCAGGGCAGATGGCTCGGCCCTGTGCCAAAAGATCTCTTTTCCTTCCCTCCTCCTTGCCCACCCCCCTGAGGATTCAGAGGAGGCTCGGGTAGAGGGCCCTCTAGCCACAAGGGTCCTGGCCTCTCCCAGATCAAAGGAAGCAGATGGGCTTCAGCTGCCTGTCAGGCCTTGTTAAATATTTAAAATGTCAAGGCCCCTGGGAACCTGACTGAATCTGCCACAGAGCTTGGGAGCTCTCCTGGTGCCTGCGGAGGGCGTGGGCATTGGAGAAGGGCAGGTGCTCCAATGGGAGTCCCAGCCCCTGAGTGGCTTCTGAGCACCTGGGTCTCTGCGCAACTCCCCCACCATACTCACCAGAGAAAGCCAGCCAGGGTTGGGTCTGCTGCCTGCTGAAAGACCATCCTAGAGACTGACCTGACTCAAGCGCCTCAGCCACAAGCTGTCTGGTGCCAGGACCTGGTGACTCTCGTTCCATATCTCCTCAGTCAGGCCATGAGCCTTAGGCGAGCACTGGCTCATCGTCAGGCATGCTGCTTTGCCTGCAGTTTCCATGCAGACTTACCAGTTCCCCACTCCTCCTCAGCTACTGTGGCCTGATTGTGCAGGCACTGCCTTAGCTGCACTTCAAGCCCCATAGAAACTCTCAGACAAGGTGGGTGGGTAGACATCACAGTGCCCAGGAAGGGGGCTCATAGAGAGGATGGAGGACAAATAGGTGGAGGACACAAATTGAGGGAAAGGCACTTTGTCTTCTGGCGATGAGCATATCCTTGCACTGCCCTTTCATCCTTGTAGAGGCCCAGAATTCCAGAACCATCCCAAAGAAAGGTATGCCTATTTGGCAGAGAGCTGGAGCCTGAGTGGCAGGCTTACTAGGGACATTTGGGCCCTGTGTCCTCTCCTGTCTGCTCTCCACAAGCAGGCATGGGAAGGAGGGGACAGATTAGCTGAGAGCCGACACGATGTGGTCCTAATCCAATTCTGATGGCATCTGGCCTCTGCTCTGGGCAGACGGCCCATCTGTGTCCATGCCAACCGACTAGCCCCTGCCCCCCTGCCCTGGACCTGGGCCATGTTAGACCTGCTGAGTGGGCAAGTCCCTAGTACCAGAGGGACCATAGCAGCTCCCCCCCCCTCACGGGTGCCATAGTAGTGGTGGCAGCTGTCAGACCCCCAGCCCGCAGGAGGGCCAAGGCCTCGGGGCCAGGCTGAAGGCAGCTGCCAATCTTGGGCAAAGGCGGGGGCGGGGGGGGGAGAACTATAGTAGCAAGGACAAATCAAGGCCAATGACAAGGCAGGGGGAGGGGATGAGGTGACAGTTCCTGGGGAAGGGGCCCCAGGGCCCCATTGCCCTTGGGGACAATCTGAGCATGTGCAGTAGGGCAGGCAGAAAGCAGACTCGCATGGTGATATATTGTCCATGTGTTTTCTAGAAGCTACAATGAACTTCTGGCTGTCTTTGGGGGCTGCAGACCAAGGCCAGTGGAGAACTGGAGAACCTGAGTATCTGGGAGAGTCGGGGTTCTGGTGTCTCCCTTGTACTGACTCTATCTCATGCCTTGTGTAGTTGCAGGAGACAGGACTTGGTCTAGAGTGAGGAACATGTCCCTCAACTGGGTCCCTGCCCCTCAGCTGCCACCATAGGAGCTGTCTCCCAGACATCCAACTAGGGAAGCTGAGGGCCCTTGGAAAGAGGCCTTAGGCCCCAGCAGAAATCTGAGCTGTCAGCTCAGGAGCAGTGAAACCGAGGGGGAAAGGGCAGGAACAGCTGTGGCCCTTTGGTTGGGGAAGACTCCCTGTGGCTGTCACTTTGCTAGGATGACAAGGCTGTGCCAGCTGGAGCTTTTGCTCTTCCACCTTGCATGAGCCCCATCCTGGCCCTCCACAGAGTCCCAATGTCAGCACTTGCTTGTTGGCACATGGGCTGGGGTCTGGTGTGAGTGCCCCATGGGTTGGATGGCCCTTCTGTGCTCCTCTAGTTCCTGCAGCAGGTGGCAGGAGTCAGGCCAGCAACTCTGGTCTGGGAACTGTAAACTGCCATCTGCCCAGTAGGCGTCACTGTGGCACTGGGCACTTTGGGGGCTCAGCACTGGGGGGGGGTGGAGGTGGGCACATCCAAAAGGCCTGATTCAGCTCTGGTGAGAATGCTGAGGGCCAAGGATAAATCTGGGGATGGCAGTATCTCACCTGCTTGCCCCTGGGAAAGTTGCTGAATGGACGTGCGGGCTCGGAGACCAACACTTACATGCTGGATCTAAATGGGCCGGAGGAGATATGCCTGGCAGCACACAGGAGCAATCTGGGAGCGTGGAGGTACCCTCCAGGGCTCTAGGCCATGAATGGAAGTCTTCTTGGCCCCTGGGCCTTGCATCCATTGAAGCTTAAGCTTGTATTCCCCTACCTTTCCTTCAGCTTGGCAGACTGAAGACAAAATGTCATCAGTATGAACCATTGACAAACTCATTCGCACCAGCCTCCTCACTTCTCATCCTGATGAATAATAGGGGACAGAGTCAGATGAAGGATAGCTGTCATTATGAGGCCGAGGCAGATAGACTGTAGAGCCCCCAAGGAAGCTAGCCAGTGAATTTGGCTAAAAATCTCTGAGTTACGTTCAAGCCCCAATATTGGGACTGGTGCTGGGGCCAGGCTCTGAGGAAGGCATTATACAGGAGGCAGCTACCTCTCTGAATACCTCCTGGCCACTTTGGGCACCAGGCCCTTATTCGACCACTCTCTGGTTCTATGTCATGGTAGCTCAGCATCTGAGATGATGCTTGTGTTGACCTGGACAGCAGTTAAGGGCTGTGACTCATAGAAACAGTCCCTTCTGATCTCTAGCTCAGTACTCGTCTGGACCTTAGTGGGCAAAGCAAATCCCTCCCAGCTGATGAGCACGCTACCCTGAGCTGCCCAGGGCCTCATTTCTGTGGGCGTGAGTAGAAGTGAGATGCTGCCAATATTCTGGCCTTGCTTGTTCCCAGTCCACCCAGTTTCTGAGATCTTTTTTTCTCTTTACATGACACTGTAAGTCCCTTGAGAACCTGCAACCCCCCCCCCAACACCACTCTCATGCTTTTTCTCTTCTTCCCTGAGAAACTTCTGGAAAGTCAACCTCTACTCCCTGTCTCCAGCAGCCGCTCCTCTGTCACTCTTAGCAGCCATGTTTGCAGAGATTCCTATATTTCTAGGCCCTGACACCCATGTGATCCTGGTATCTCTGTGCTTTGCCCCCTTTTCGGGTTAGGCCGTGTGACCTTGCATGTCTTTAGGACCAGCAGGCCATGGGATAAAACAAGGCTTGGTGGCTGTCCAGCTGTCAAAGTGTCCCTGTTTCAAATGTGCATTGCCATCTCGTAGACCAAGAAAGCCAAGTCAAATTGGTGGGAAGTAGACGTCTTTCTGGCTGGGAAGGAAAGCCTCACTTCAGATAGGGTCCAAGCCACTTTTTTGGCACCTTGGAAAAGTAGGCTAATGTTCAGCCCCACTCCTGATAGGTGTCATCTCCATGAACCCACTGAAGCCATCCAGAAGTTTGCATTTTCTGCCAGCCACCCTGGGAGGTGGTGCTGGCTGCTCTTGTGTATTCTTGTTTCTGGAAGACCCTTGACAGCATAGAGCCCTGCTGGGTCCCCTCTGCACTTCCCCTTTGCTGGGCATTATCACTTTCCTGCAAATCTCCCTCCAAGATGGATTGGGAGAATAAGACGACACAGGCCTGGACTGAGAGAGTAGACAAGGGTCTACATTTGGCTCCTAGCAACTTGGACTGCCATAGTTCTGAAGCCTTCCAGGGCTGTTTCTCATGTGTGTATCACTAAGACTTTGATAGCCCCTTCCCGGACTAGTATCATTCCCTACTCTGGGGGCTCCTCGTGATGACTATGGAGGACTGCATGCTCACTATCCCAAACTTAGTCTCCACACGTGTGCAGAAAGGTTTGTGGCGCCCGGCTGTGCAGCTACTGCCTCATCCAAAAATACAGGGTGGATGGAGAGAGGCAGGCTCTTAAGAACAGAGCCCCAAGAGCAGCTCCTGCAAGCAGCACAGCTGGCAGGGCTGCTCAAGATGCCAAGGGCTTAGGTCAACCTGTCCGATCCTCTCCTTCTATGTTTCTGCTGCTCTTCTGGCATGCCATGCAGGCCTAGCAGACAACGCCAATGACCTGGAGAAGCGCAGACAGATCTACGGGCAGAACTTCATCCCTCCCAAGCAGCCAAAGACCTTCCTGCAGCTGGTATGGGAGGCCCTGCAAGACGTAACTCTCATCATCCTGGAGGTGGCTGCCATTGTGTCTCTGGGCCTCTCCTTCTATGCACCACCTGGGGAGGAGAGCGAAGGTGAGGGGCAGGGCTCGGGGTTGGAAAGGGAGGAAGGAGAGCCCCAGGATATCCCCGCACCTGCCTTTCATGACATCTTTACTTCCTTTCCCTTCTGTCCTTGGACACAGCCTGTGGGAATGTGTCTGGCGGGGCAGAAGATGAGGGTGAGGCTGAGGCTGGATGGATCGAGGGGGCTGCCATCCTGCTGTCTGTCATCTGCGTGGTGCTGGTCACAGCCTTCAATGATTGGAGCAAGGAGAAGCAGTTTCGGGGCCTGCAGAGCCGCATCGAGCAGGAGCAGAAGTTTACAGTCATCCGCAACGGGCAGCTCCTCCAGGTCCCTGTGGCTGCACTGGTGGTGGGGGACATCGCCCAGGTTAAGTATGGTTAGTGTGCCAAGGAAGGTGGGCTAGAGGAGATCCCACTCCCAGCACAGGTGTATCCCCAGGAGCATGTGTTCCTTCAATGCAGGGGGCTGGAGATGAGTGGGTGAGGCAGGGTGGAAGGGACTTTGAGAAGCCACAGCGCTCCTCAGGAAGCAGGCTATTCCCCCGGGCCCTCTAAGGATGGAAATGTTTTCTCAGTTCCCGAGAGATGAACAACACGGGTGTGGGGACCCCCTACCCAAAGAGGGCTCCCAGAGAACAAGGCCCACCCTCAGGAGAAGTGGGAGGTGGTGGTGGGGAGAAGGGTTCCCGTGGACCCATGGCTTCCAGTTGTGGCTATGGCCCACCTTTAGGAGACCTGCTGCCTGCGGATGGAGTGCTCATCCAGGGTAATGACCTCAAGATCGACGAGAGCTCCCTGACTGGCGAGTCGGACCACGTGCGCAAGTCAGCAGACAAAGACCCCATGCTGCTCTCCGGTGAGGGCCCAGGTTCCCAACCAGCGCAGTGACTAGTCTTTTGGCCCAGTATGTCCATCCATGCCAGCCTGCCAGACATGCCTCATGGAGAGGATTACCAAATCACCCTTCCAGTTAGGGAGTCTCAGAGCGCCCCCTCCCAACTGTAAGGCCACAGTGGGCCACTGAAGACCGGATGGCAGGAGCCACGGGGCAAGCAAATGGACTCTGGCTGCTCAAGAGGACTTTAAGCAGCCTAAATAGGAAGCCTCAGGGGGGGCTTTGTGCTGGTACATGTTCTCTTCCTAAATCCAGGCCCTCAAAAACACCCAGTAGAGGCAGTTTCCTTTCCAGAAGGTTCTGAGTTAGCTCAATATTTAGCACAGTAGGAAATAAAGTGTACAATTGGACAGAAAAGCCAAAGGCCCCTGTGGGTCCCATGAATGGCTCATGCTATGCGCCTGGCAAGTACCTGACCTCTGGGAGCCTCTAAATGCCCTTCAGACCAGGGAACAGGCTGTAGCTTAGGCCTGTCGTCTTATGGCCTCTTAGCTCTCCTGGCTTCTAGATGTTTGTGTCTCTGTCTCCAGAAATATCTAGGAGCAAACATGAGGGGCACTGAACTGGTCTCCCATCAGGTGGTGCAAATCTTTGTATCAGGCTCTCTGTGTTCTGTGTCAGGTACCCATGTCATGGAAGGTTCTGGAAGAATGGTGGTGACAGCTGTTGGTGTGAACTCCCAGACAGGCATCATCTTTACATTGCTTGGAGCTGGTGGAGAAGAGGAAGAGAAGAAGGATAAGAAAGGTAAAGTAACACTGCTTTCCATTTCCAGAGCTGATAAGACGGCCTTCTTCTGTGTTGCTGTCCTTGCTTTTTTGTCTGCCTATTGGCAGTGCCCTGCTGGCCAATCCTAGGCCCTCAAGGGATGGGAGGCCATGCTTATTTGTCTGATTCTTCTCCAGATGTTGTAAGGGCAGTTTCCTTTAGATAGCCTTGGGGTGCCTATGCCTGGAATATGGTCAAAAGGACAGGGGCCATGGCTTTGGAGGATGCTACTAGGGCCCTCAGGCCCACGCTTAGAGCTAGCATGCATGGCCAGTGCTCCCTCTGAGCCTCAGAACTCATGAAGCGTCACATCTGCCCTTATTACTCCCTATCCCCAAGCTAGATGTGGAGCAGAGATTTCCTGATATGTGTCTACCTACTGGGACATGTATACAAGTACAGACTGACTGCCCAGGTGGGCAGAACTCTGCTTCCAGCTGTGAGGCCCTGGAGCCAGTGAGCTGGGACAGTTGGTCTTAGGCTGCTAGAGCTGAGAGAGCAGATGGGGTTGGTCAGCTCACCCTCAGCCACACATGGACAGGTCAGCAGACACATTAGCAGCCCCAGCATCAGGTACCTCTTGAAGGCCCCTGCTTCTGGAGAACAGGGAGAGAGGAGCTAAGCAAGCTGCTATTGCCTGCAAGTTTCTGTGATCCCAGGCTTCCATGCATATTTCCCTACATGGGGACCTCCCTGCCCCCTGATAGACAGGCCCTCCATTGCTGCACCAAGCCCTCTGTCCCTACAGGACTCAGCCTATGTCCCTCCTCTGCGAGCACTATGGGGGCTCACAGGCAGGTGGGTAGCATCTGGGCCTCATCTGGGCTGGACTGGGATGAAATCCCTAGGTCAGATGACCCTGCCCATTGGCTTCGTGCTCCTCACTAGTTGTCACGGTGCTCATAAGTGTAGGGGCCTCCAAGGCCCCCCACCCTGCTAGCCAAGGGTTACTGAAACCCAGACTATCCTGGTGTCTCCTGTGGTTCCTTTCCAGGCTCCTGGCCTCCTACTCTGTCCCTTCAGTGTTGTTGAATGTTGGCAGTTCAGGGTTAGCATCTTTCACAGCTTGGTCCTGGGCTTTCTCCTCTGTCAACTTGACCAGAACCTTTTAGCTCCTCCCAGGCCCCCCTTTACTCTTCTCTACTCCCCTCAGGCTATGCAACTTAACAGGTCAGAGTAAGTCAGCTCCCTGAAGGGGTCCAAGACAAAAAATTAGTGGGTGCCATGGCCCAGGTCTCCTGCCTCCTGTGAGTCAGTCTAGTCTGTTGGGCACATTCTGAAGGCATTCCCTGTCCACTTGCTGCCTGTATCTTCTAGTTTTATGGGTGTTTTTTTTTCAGTACTGCAGTTTGAATCCAGCTCCTTGCATTTGGGAGGCAAAGTGCTCTACCATGCCTCCACCCCTTTTGTGCTTGTTATTTTGGAGATACAATCATGCTTCATCTTGCTGGGTCACCTGTCTGGATCTTTTTAGGCTTTTCATTGTAGCTGAGATAACAGGCATGAGTCACCACACCCAGCTTCTTTCTATTGGGATGAAGGGTCAAGGATTTTTCTTCCCAGGCTGGGCTCAAACTGTGATCCTCTTATTCGCAGCCTCCCAAGTAGCTGGGATTACAGGTGTGAGCCACCAGCAACTAGCTTCTTGCCTTTTAACTATGACTGCTATGCAACATGATTTCTCAAGACATTTTCTTGAAACACTTACCCTAAACTTCCTTCCCTCCCTCCCTTCTTGGAAGCCTCTCCTGACCCTATCTGAAACTTGGTTTCCACAGCCCCAGGTCTTCAGCCATATATTGTTATTGCACTGTTGTCCTATGCAGAACGATATCTCCTTTTCTGCCTTAGAAGTCTCCTTTACCTCGGAACCATCTGCAACCCCAAGAGGCACTGGGCAGAGAAGTTTCAAATCTATATCTTGCTCCAGACATGAATGAGATCTTTGTCTTCTTGTTGTCAACTCTAGACCCTGACCACATTCCCTGGGAGCTTTTTGGTGCTCTGGCATACCCTGTGTATATCCCTGGATCCCCAGGGCTCTGAGCTATTGGATGGTGCCTGGAAGCTCATCTCAGAAACCCTCCCTGCCCTGTGCAGCTTATCTTTAGATATGGCCCAGTGCAAATGTGGTGCCCGGCCTAGCTCCACTAACTTCCATCCCACATGTGCAGCCCTCTGAAGAAGTGGCTGGTGTGTGGTAGGCTGTACCCACCAGTTGAGGTCCCCACACATGTCTCCCTGGGGTCTAGCCTATCCACTTTCCCCCAGTGCTGCTGGACACCCCACGTTCAGACTAGCCTTTCCACAAAATGGCTCTGGGCATACAATCAAAGCTTGTTGTGGTTGAGCAATAACCTGGGGGTGCCCAGCAGGTCACAAGAACTTGGAGTCCTAGTGTGTGGTAACTGTCCCTTGAAAGCACCCTCAGCACTGAATGCTGGCAGTGACTGCTGGAGAGACTGCTGTCTAGGGTAAGATGGCTGGATGGATGCCACCAAGGCTTGGGAACCATCTAAGTAAACCCCTTTTATTGGGTCTTGGAGAGCAGCCATGATGACAGGGAGAAGGCTCTATTCAAGGGTCTCTTCCATAAGCCTACTTCTGTCCTCCCTGATCCAGAGCTCATTTAGGGCTTTAGGGGTCAAACTAATGGGAAACACTGGCTCAGGGTTTTGCTCAGGAAGCACAGAGAATGTGGGGTGACCACATATTGGGAGGTGGTGACAACGTGAATCTGGAAAATAAAGGGTATAAACAGTGCCCTTCCATGGGTGATGTCAGGGCCATGAGCCATTAGGCCTCTCCTTTCCCTCTCTTCATCCCATGCGCTCCTGGGCTGCGCTGTCTGTGCTCCAGCTCGGCTCTCTGTCTTGTGCATGTGTGTGTGTGTGTGATGGCCACATGGATGTTCTCAAGTCTCTGTGTCTGTCGTTCCTCTTCCATTGTAGGCAAGCAGCAGGATGGGGCGATGGACAGTAGCCAGACCAGAGGTAATGAGTGTGCTGTGCTGCTCAGGGCAGCCAAGGAACCTGGGTGGGAAGGGGTAGTGCTGGGGAGAGTGGGTGCTGGCAGGGGGGGGGACCTTTTGCTGAAGTGGCAGAAGCAGCACCTTTGGACAGGTAAGTGTACTCCATGGCTTCATCTTGGCCAGAGGGTAGAGGGGGCCTCCACCCACAGACACTGCTGGAAGCCCAGGGCAGCCATCTGGAGGATAGTGAGTGGATGCCAAGGCCATTGGCATAGCTTGAGCTTGTCCATGCATAAAGACCACCTGTGAGTGGACAACCTGGTCCTACTTTGGCCACATAACAAAAACCTAAGGCACAGAGAAGTTGACTTGCTCAAAGTCCTGGGTTCCAGTCAGTCCAGTGGGTTTCCCAGCTCATCTTTCATCTGTCTGAGCCCCTGGGCCAAAGTGATAGAGCAACCATGCAAGAGGCAGAGGCTCTGCTGGCATATCCTGGCACTCCTGCAAGGCATGTACTGCTTGTGAGTGGCTGGATGGCAGGCAGTGGCCTGTAAGTTCTAGGTGCTGGAAATGTAAAGGTGAGCGGAGCATATCTTGGCTCTCAGAAAGGTCACAGGGTAGAAGGATGGTGCACAAATGTAACATGGTGTGTGCTGGCCTGAACACTGCAAGACTGACAGTCTGACAAGTCAATCGGAGCTTGGGAGCACAGTCATCCCACAGTAGGTTGGGACTCAAAGCTACAGTGACCCACCTGGGTAGGGCCTCACATATCCCTCAGGCTGCCAGGAGGAAGGAGCTGCCAGTCTCGGATTACCATGTGAAAGAAAAGATGTAGAAGTGATGGCCATCGTGCCAAGAGCCTCCACTGTCTGGAGGGCAAGGGTGATGGGGAAGGAAGGCAAGCTAGGGGACCTCCATTGCTAGGTGAGGTAGCCTCTCCCCAAGATGAGTGGAAGAAGCAGGAAAAGTGGTCATGATTACTTTGGGCAGTGCAGAACCCCTCTGAGCTCAAAGAGTGTGAAGTGAGAGCTGGGAGAGCAGCATGAGGAGGAATCCAGAGCTGGCAGGGGACATGCCACCACTGTGGCAGAGCAGCCAAGATGAGGAGCAAGACAGCCCCCAGGGGAAGAGTGAGGGGAGCCTTCTGCTCCAGCGGAGACAGGGAAGTGACAGAAAAAGCTGCCCAAAACAGTCGCGGGAGCCAAAGGGAGGAATGACTTGAGCAGGGAGCAGGGGTGGCTGGGCCAGGGGGAGGGTGTTCTTATACCTCCTTGAGGGGAACAGGGACGTAGCTTAGACACCAGTGGGTAGATGGGTCAGATTTGGTTCCAGAACATTCCTTGGACCACAGGACTTTGCTCTCAGGTATTGAGATTTAGAGTGTTCTAGGACTGGCCACCTTGTCTGTGTGCCCAACTTCCTTGTGCTTCTGTCTGTCCTCCTTTGCTGTAAGAGAGCCATTTCTGTCCCACCTACGACCATGTTGGAGCTTTCCTATCTCGAGAGGGCCTGGGTTTAGGAGACAAGAGAAGGGACACTGACAGACTTCCTTTGTCATGTTAAGCTTGGAAATAAATCCCCTTTCCTCTCCTGTGGTATGGTGTGTCTTTCCCTGTGATAGCCCCTTGTAGCCCCTTCACCCTGGCTGGGCCCTCACTTTGGCTCTGGGGTTCCTTTGTGTGCAGCTAAGAAGCAGGATGGGGCAGTTGCCATGGAAATGCAGCCTCTGAAGAGTGCAGAGGGCGGTGAGATGGAGGAGCGGGAGAAGAAGAAAGCCAACGTGCCCAAGAAGGAGAAATCGGTCCTGCAAGGGAAGCTCACGAAACTGGCGGTGCAAATTGGGAAAGCAGGTAGGGACAGCTTGAGGCAGCAGGCTAATGCCACCGACTGGGCCTCAGACCGCTAGGCCTCTGGAGATGGAGCCAGGAAAATGGAATATGACAAGTGGTGTGGGCTAGGGAACCAGGCTGGGAGGTAAGGCCCTGGCCCAGCCTCCCTAAATGAACATGGATTATTCCAAACTCCCTCCTAAAGCCCAGGTCACACACTCACCTCTCCACCTCCGTTCCCCACCACTCCATGTCTAGGACATGGTCAGAAGGCAGCCAGCACCATTTAAGGGACTGCTGGGCAGACTCCTGACATCTGAGGGCAGGCTAAGGGTGATTTTACCCAGGCATGCTCCTCAATCTGTAAGCCTTGATGCTTTCACACTGTCCTGAGAAACTCAAGTAATGACCATCCTAGGCACTGCCCCCACCCTTATCCACCAAGCCATCCCCCAAACTGTTTATCCCAGAACATGAATCAAATCAATCTGCCCTTTGAAAACATTCTGGCTAGACCCAAGCACAGTGACTCATACCTGTAATCCTAGCCACGCACGAGACAGAACAGAGGATTGTGTGTGGGTTGGGAACATCATTGTTCAAGGCCATCCTGGACAAAGCGTGAAAGACTCCCCCATCTCAACGAACAAAAGGCTGGGATGGCAATACCCACCACCAGTCTTGGTCCACGCTGGGCTAGGACCTTATGAGTCCTATTTGAAGACTAACTAAAGCAAAATGGGTCAGGGATGTGGCTTACATGGCAGGAGCACATGCTTAGCAAATGAAAGTCCCTGAGTTCAAACCCCAGTACTAACAAAAGAGAAAAACAGGGAAGGAGGGAGAGGGGGAGGGTAGCTAAATGGCCCTGATCAGGCACAAGCTAGCCACAGCTGTAGTGCCCCTTACCTCCCTCTTTTTTTGCCAGTCCTGAGGCTTGAACTCAGGGCCTAGGCACTGTCACTGAGCTTCTTTTGCTCAAGGCTAGCACTCTACCACTTGAGCCACAGCGCCACTTCCGGCTTTATCTGTGTATGTGGTACTGAGGAATTGAACCCAGGGCTTCATGCATGCTAGGCAAGCACTGTACCACTAAGCCACCTTCCCAGCCCCTCCCCCCCTTACCTCTCTTTCTCTTTTCCTTTCTCCTCTTCCACCTGTGATGACCTCCTTCCACCACCGTCTTTGTGAACTCCATCATGACTGAGCAGGGCTGGTGATGTCTGCTATCACTGTCATCATCCTGGTTCTCTACTTTGTGATCGAGACCTTTGTGGTGGAGGGCCGAGTGTGGTTGGCCGAGTGCACGCCAGTCTATGTACAGTATTTTGTGAAGTTCTTCATCATCGGCGTCACTGTGCTGGTGGTGGCTGTCCCTGAGGGCCTGCCTCTGGCTGTCACCATCTCTTTGGCTTACTCTGTCAAGGTAATCGTTCATAATACCTTGTCTAAAAATGTGAGAAGTTGTACAAAGGGGTTTCAATTCAACAAGTCAGATTATGAGTACAATGCATCTTGATCATACTTGCAATCGATGACAGAAACAGCAGCAAGATGTCAGCAAGCACTTTGCAGCGGTGAGGACAGGGAAGGGGTCCCTGTCTCTCAGAGGAGCCCCTGGGAGGGACTGAGGGATAGCTTTGCTGAGTGGGCTGAGTGGGCCCATCAGTGTGAACCCTATGCCCACTCAGCTGCCTGGGCACAGAGAGATAAGTTGGAAAGCAAGTGCATGGTGAGGTACACTTGAGGATTGGCAGTTGGGACCCAGGTAGGAGGAGGCTGGAGGGTCTGGGAAGCAGAGACCTGGTGTTGAACACAGAATGGGGGGGAGGGGGCATGGCCTCCTGGAACACTGTGAGGCGGTGATTAGAACATGAGAGAGGAAGGTTGGCGTGAAGGGGGTGGAAGAAAAGGGGGCTATGGCAGGGAGGCATTAGGCAACATCCGAGGAGAGGGGTTTCCTACAACCTGAGTGCTCCCCATTTGATGAGTACATACATCTTCAAGATCTCTTTTGATTCAAGGCCACCACGTAGCCCAGAGCTGACAAAGGCACCATGTTTGAGCTGACCAGGCCTTGTTCCTCTTGCTGTAATGAGCAAACAACCCAAGTGCCCCTCACCTTATTTTACAGAAAATGATGAAGGACAACAACCTGGTACGCCATCTGGATGCCTGTGAGACCATGGGCAATGCCACAGCCATTTGTTCAGATAAGACGGGCACCCTCACCACCAACCGGATGACCGTGGTCCAGTCCTACCTAGGAGACACCCATTACAAAGAGATTCCATCTCCCAGCGCCCTGACCCCCAAGATCCTTGACCTCCTGGTCCATGCCATCTCCATCAACAGTGCCTACACCACCAAAATACTAGTGAGCTGGGCCAGGAGGGCAGGCGGCAGAGCCACAGTGGGATGTGGGGCGGGGCCTGGGTGGGGGCGTGGCTTGAGCTGTGCTGAGGGGCTCCCTAGGTGTTCTTAAGAACTTTCCAGGGGCTTAAGAGCATAGCGAAGTGTAGTGGTAGAGTGCTTGCCTAGCATGCATGAGGCTCTGGGTTTGATCGCCAGCACCACCAGAAAACCGAAACCAAGAACTTTTGAGCTAAGTGTCCGGGGTGCTGGTAACCTTCCTCACAGTCGTTCGCATGACAAGGTGCTCTGGCTGCTGGGTGGGGCCTGGCAGGTTCTAGCAGTTCCTTCTAAGACTCATGAAAGATGGGACCCTGCTTGCAGAGGGTCCCTTGGCAGCTAGGGCATGGTCTAGCAAGCCCACATGGGGACTTTCCTCTGCCCCACCACACTTTAACAACGTGGTGGCCACAGCTGGGCAGGAGCCTTGGCCTGGGAATGGCCCAGAGGGGGCTCTCCACCCCAGCGCCATGCTGGCTCTCCTCGTCCCGCAGCCTCCAGAGAAGGAAGGCGCTCTCCCACGCCAAGTGGGTAATAAGACGGAGTGCGCTCTGCTGGGCTTCGTCCTAGACCTGAAGCGGGACTTCCAGCCTGTGAGGGAGCAGATTCCCGAAGATAAGCTTTACAAAGTGTATACCTTCAACTCGGTCCGCAAATCCATGAGCACGGTCATCTGCATGCCTGATGGCGGCTTCCGCCTCTTCAGCAAGGGAGCCTCGGAGATCCTGCTCAAAAAGTGAGTGGGTCACCCCAGGAGTCAGGGGCTGGGTGTCTGGGGAATGGCTGAAGGGTATTACCAAAATCTTTCATTGTACTGTTTTTTTGTTTGTTTTTTGGTCCGGTCGTGGGGCCTGAACTCTGGGCCTGGGCACTGTCCCTCAGCTCTTCAGCTCAAGGCTAGTGCCCTACCACTTGAGCCACAGCACCACTTCCGGCTTTTTTCTTTTTGCTTATGTGGTGCTAAGGAATTGAACCCAGGGCCTCAGGCATGCAAGGCAAGCGCTCTACCACTGAGCCAACTTCCCAGCCCCTCATTGTATTGTGGGGAAACTGACCTGACACAGAATTGTCCTTTTGAACCACTCTAAATGTACAATTCAGTGCAGTACAATTCAGTATATCCACAAGGCCATGGAGCTCCTAAACATTTACCTGCCTTCCAAAAGAAACCCCAGGATCATTAAAGAATCATTCCCCACCCCGCTCCCACTTCAGCCCTGGCAACCACAATCTGCTTCATGCTCCTATAGATTTGACTGTTCTGGACATTTCATAGAAGTGGAACTGTTGGGCTGGGAAGGTGGCTCAGTGGTAGAGTGCTTGCCTTGCATGCATGAGGCCCTGGGTTCGATTCCTCAGTACCACATACACAGAAAAAGCCAGAAGTGGGGCTGTGGCTCAAGTGGTAGAGTGCTAGCCTTGAGCAAAACAAGGTCAGGGACAGTGCCCAGGTCCTGAGTTCAAACCCCAAATCTGGCAAAAAAAAAAAAAAAGAAGAAAGAAAGAAAGAGAAACTGTACACTTTGTGTCTGGCTTCTTTCACTGAACAGAATGCCCTCCACATTCATCTGTATATCAAAACTTCCTTTGCTTTTGATAGTTAAACAATATCTCATTGTATGGGGTATTGACTGTCTATTGACAGACCTTCTGGGTTGCTTCCATATTTACCATTAAGACTCATGCTGCTGGGGCTGGGAAGGTGGCTCAGTGGTAGAGCGCATGCCTTGAATGCATGAGGCCCTGGGTTCGATTCCTCCGCACCACATAAGCAAAAAGAAAAAAAAAAGCCGGAAGTGGCGCTGTGGCTCAAGTAGTAGAGTACTAGCCTTGAACTGAAGAGCTGATGGACAGCGCCCAGGTCCAGAGTTCAGGCCCCATGACCAGACCCCAAAAAAAATTTAAAAAAAAACAAGAATCATGCTGCTATGAACATTCATGTGCAAGTTTGTGTTTGCATGCATGTTTTCAACTTTCTTTTTCCTAGATACTGTGTTAGCTTTCTGTTACTATGTCATCTGAGCTGGACACAGAGCTGCATACCTGAAGTCCCAACTACTCAGGAGGCAGAAGTGTGAGGAAGCCTTAAGCACAGGAGTTCAAGGCCAACCTTGGCAACATAATGAAATTGTCTCAAAATATTTTGAGATAAATCAACTTTTATTAAGAGAAAATTTTTATTTTGGCTTATACTTTGGGGAGGTTGCAGTCTAATATCAATTGGCCAGAGAGTATGTCATAGATGGATGTAATGAGAAAGAGAAAGACCTAGTCCCATAAGCCTCGAGGGCACACCCCCAGTAACATACACCTCTCAGTAGCCTCCTCCTCTTCATGTGTCCACCACCGTACAATAGCAGCATGAAGCTAGGGACCAAGCCTTTGTGAAATAGTCCAGTCCTAAACTATAGTGTGTGTCCTTGGTCCTTATGGCCATCTCGTGATATTAAGATGCATTTTTCCAGTCCATGTCTAAGAGTCTCCAAAGTCTTAACTGTTCCAGTATTATTCAAAAGCCCAAGTTCAAAGCCTCCTGTGAGCCCTTACAAAAAGAAAAAAGAATATTATGCACTTCCAAGGTACAATAACATGGGAGACAATAACATTCCCATCCCCAAAGAGGGGAAATAAGAAAAGAACGAGGATCTGGCCAAAGACAGACCAAAACCCAGGAAGGCAAACATTAAATCTGAAATCTCCAGCATGTGGGGCACACTGTGTTTGGATCTAGGCTCCCAGAGCTTGACTAGCTCCCACCTTCGTAGCTTTACTGGTCGCAGCTCATATGGGCCTGGCGTGTACTGGTTGTTCTCACTGCCTGCAGCTTCAACTTCACTGTCACAGCTTCCTGCAGCTCCCTGTTGGGGGCTGTGTGCAGAGATTCTGACCCTGACACACACAGCCTACCCCTGGGTCTTTCTTTGAAATCCATGTGCAAACCTTCATGGCCCTGTAACCCTTGTGTATTATGTGCCTCCAAAAGCCAGTACCATAAGGATAAAGTCATGGTCAGCCACAACTGAAGCTATACCTGAGCTCACTTGAATCATGGCATCAGTGTGTTTTAGATGCCTTGCTAGCTAAACATGTGGGACAGGGGGCGGGGGAGACTCAAAGGGAAATGAATCATTAAACGCTTGCTCTGGGGTTCTCCTCAAAAGATCCTGCCCTGGAAAGCCTAAAACATGAAGTGGAATTTCTCCTTCTCTGAAAAATGGTTGATGACCTTGATGATGGTTGTGACCTTGAAAATTTTTAAGATTTCTTACGGGCCTCTTATTGTCTCCATGTTTGAACTCAGGACCTTGGCACTGTCCCTTAGCTTTTTTGCTCAAAAGCTAGCACTGTACCACTTGGTGACTAGAGATAAGAGACTCACAGACTTTGCTGCCAGATTAGCTTTGAACTGCAATCCTCAGATGTCAGTCTCCTGAGTAGCTAAGATTACAGGCATGAGCCACTGGCTCCTGGTTCTTTACATACACTTGATATTAAATCATTATCAAATACATGACTTGTTTTTCCTGCCATTCTACGGGTTGTCCTCACCCTTTCAACAGTGTCCCTACATGCATGAACATTTTCAGATTATGATGAAGTCCAATTCATCTGTTTGCTGCTGTTGTTAATATGGGTGTTCCTTTAGTTTGGGGAGGGGTGTTGTTTTGTTTTGAGTCTTAGTGCCTGTGTGTAGTGTAGGCTGTCCTGAAACTTGCAATCCTCCTGCCTCTGCCTCTGCAGTTCTGGGATCTCAGATATGTGCCACAAAAAGGCCCAGCATGGGTTTTTGTTGGTTTTGCCAGTCCTCAGGTTTGAACTCAGGACTGGGTGCTATCCCTGATCCTCTTTGTGCGCAAGGCTAGCGTTCTACCATTTGAACCACAGCACTACTTCCAGGTTTTTCTGAGTAGTTTATTGCAGATAAGAGTTTCATGGACTTTCCTGCCCAGGCTGGCTTCGAATCATGATCCTCAGAGTAGCTGGGATTACAGGCATGAGCCATTGGCCCCCAGCACATTGTTGTTGTTATTGTTGTTGTTGTTAAAGTGATTAAAATGTTCTAAAGTTGACTATAGTGATGGTCATGAGTATCTGAGAATATGCTAAAAAGGTTGAATGATACACTTTACATGGGTAAATTGTAGGAGAATTGAATCTCAATAGTTAGTTGAAAAGTTGGAGGAGGAAGCATGTGGCCTTGTTTCTGAGCATGCCTGCTCCCCCTACCGCTTCCCTGCCTGCATACTTCCCCTGGGCCTCTGTTTTGTTCCCTGCTCTCTCACCTAGCTCCTCCCATCCCTTTCTTGTGGTCCTTGGGAACTGGTTCCCAGGGTTCCCTGTGCCCCAGGCTCAGCCTACTCCCTGCTCTCAGCAGACTTGATCACCAAGTATGCCAGGCCCAGCCTCTGTAACCCACAGCAAAGGTCATTTCCCTACTGCATTCGGCATAGAAGCTGGAGTGCCGCCATCTTTCTGTGCTCCTTTAGTGGGTACTCAGGGCCACAGGGGCACTGTAGCTAAGAGTCTAGAGTTTGTAAGTGGGACTGAACCCCAGCTCTGCTCTGCTGGCTGTTTGAACAGAAGTTGCTCCTCCTGACAACCACCTTAGCTTCTCCTTTCAACATGAAGATAGCAGCACTACTGATCTCCTGGAAGTACTGTGAGAATTCCATGAGTGAATCCCTGTCTGTAGGAAGATACTAGTCCATGCCAGCTTTTGTTAGTTTCCTTCTGCATAAGCCTAGCCAATTCACCTGCACTGCCTGCTACAGGAGGCGCTTCTTTCACACACCTGTCTCTCTGGCTGAGTTCTCTCCAAGTCTTGTTCCTTCTAGGAACCCCCTAGGTTCATCAGGCTTGGACCCTGATGATTGCTGCTGCTTGTCTTATCCCCACCCCACAGCATCCAGATTTTGCCTGTGTTCCCCACCATTGCTCTAGAGAGTCCACGGAAGAGCTATTTTGAGTCCCATGCTCCCACCTGGGTTCCTCAGCTGAGACAGTGGCACCAGCGTCCAGAGCCTGCTGTTACAAACGATCTCAAACCTACTCACTTAAACAGCAGAAATTCAGCCGGAGAATGAGGGGTCACGCCTCTAATCCTAGCCACTCAGGAGGCTGAGATCTGGGAACTGTGGTTCAAAGCTAGCCTGGGCAGAAAAGTCCCAGCGATTCTGATCTCCAAATAACTACTCCAACATTAGAAGTGGCGCTGTGGCTCATGGCGGTAGAGCACTAGCATTGAGCATAAAGAGCTCAGGGACAGCACCCAGGCCCTGAGTTCAAGCCCCATGACTGACATAAATAGAACAAAACAAAACAAAAAAACCCACAGACATTTGTCATCCTGGGCTGGGAAGGTGGCTTAGTGGTAGAGTGCTTGTTTAGCATGCATGAAGCCCTGGGTTCCATTCCTCAGTACCACATACACAGAAAAGTCAGAAGTGGTGCTGTGGCTCAAGTGGTAGAGTGGCTAGCCTTGAGCAAAAGAAGTGCAAGGACAGGGCCCAGCCCCTGAGTTCAAGTCCCAGGACTGATTTCTTTTTAAAAAGAAATTTGTCATTTCACAGTTTTAATAGAAATCCAGAGTGAAGGTATGGGCAGGGCTGTGCTCGATCTGAAAGCTGCAGAAAAGGATCCTTGCTTGCCTCTCCCAGATTCTGCTGGTGGCCAGCAAACCTTGGCTTGTAGCTGCATCACTCCAATCTCTGCCTCTGTCATGGCCTTCTCCCCTGTCTGTCTCTGTGTCTTCTGCTGTCTTTACAAAGGACACATCATTGGCTAAGGTCTCACCCTTATCCAGTGTGACTGGCAGTATTTCCTCTTGTTCTCTCCCTGTCCCCACCTTGCCCTACTGTCCCTCCCCTGTCCCAGGTGCACCAACATCTTGAATAGCAACGGTGAACTTCGAGGGTTTCGTCCGCGTGACCGGGATGACATGGTGAAGAAGATCATTGAGCCCATGGCTTGTGATGGCCTTCGCACCATCTGCATTGCCTACCGAGACTTCCCTTCAAGCCAAGAGCCTGACTGGGATGATGAAAACGAGGTGGTGGGCGACCTCACCTGCATAGCTGTTGTGGGCATCGAGGACCCCGTGCGGCCTGAGGTAGTCATGGTGTTTCTGAAAGCTGCTCTCAAACCTGCATCCTGGGCCCAAATTTGTTCACTGCGGGGCAAAGTGACCTTTCCTCACATCCAGCCTGTACAGTGTAAGGTTTTGGCCACAAACATGCATAAAGTAGACCTCTTTCACCTACCTCCTCCTGCTCGAGTTACAGGTAGAGCAAGCCATCCAGCCTCTGGACTGTGGGGAGGCTAGGTAAGGTGGTTATTAGCAGACCTTCCTCGGTATACTTGACTCCTTTCCTTGCTGGGCTCTCTTGCCCTTGACCTATGTAGAGATTCTGTGCTGTTCACCAAACGCCTGCTCCTGCTGGGCCCCTGAGGAGGCTCAGGCTCCATCTTCTACCAGGTGAGAGGGGAAAGCAATGAGACCTCTACCACCTGGGCTAATGGATGGAAGCGGGTGATGATGTCTAGAGAGGAGTCAGGCATGGCTGGTCTAGAAGCTTGAGCCATATGGTTTGGTGAGCAGGGTGAGTAGTCAGCAGTCACCAGTCTAGATGGATCCAAGCGAGGTTCAGGACACCCATAGGGAGATGTCAAGACGGCAGGTGGCTGTAGGAGTGCAGAGCTCAGACCTGGAGGGAAATTCCAGAAACATCTCTATATGGCTGATGGCACCAGAGCAGTGTACAGCTGAAACAGGCCAGACAGGGCGGGGAATGCTCAAGGTCCACAGAGCTGAAGCAAACAGAGTAAAGGAAGGTGAGTTAAGGAAGTTAAGGCCTTCATACTGGAAGATCATGGGCGACTTTGACCTGACAAGATTCTTGGTATTGGTAATTTTCAGGCTTTTTTCTTTTAAGGTGGGAAAGCCTTGAGAGAGGCAGTGTGGTAGGACCCCTTGTTCCCAGACCCTGTCTATTGGTGCCCACCTCATGTTAGAAGCAGGGACACCTGGCTATTTCCTATTAGCCTGAAAGCACATATTTGTAGGGGCTTCCACTGGGGGATGGCAGAAATTTCTTGCACTTACCAAAGATATTCAGTTCAGAAGACAATGCTAGCCACATCTACACTGTGGCCATGGGTCATTGTCAGAAGAGCAGCCCTGTATTCCACAGACAACACTGTGTCCGTGGGTAGGGAGGGAACTGCTCTGAGAGAAACTACCTGAGGCTGGCCTGGGAGAAGACGGATGGATGGGGGATGAACTACAGCAAGCAGCATTGGCGCAGGGAAGGAAGGCAGTGGTATGTGGTATGACACCCTGGACTAACTGGGCAATATTCCTTTTGTTTTTTGTCGGTCATGGGGCTTGAACTCTGGGCCTGGGCACTGTCCCTCAGCTCTTCAGCTCAAGGCGAGCGCTCTACCACTTGAGCCACAGCACCCCTTCCAGTTTTCTGGGGGTTCATTAGAGATGAGTCTCATTCACATTCCTGCTTGGGCTGGCTTTCAACTGCGATCCTCAGATCTCAGTCTCTGAGTAGCTAGGATTACAGGCATGAGCCACCAGCACCTGGCTAATATTCCTTTTTTATGACTTCCTGAGTTGCTAGGATTACAGGCGTGAGCCACCGGCGCTCAGCTAATATTCCTTTTTTATAAGTTTTGTCTCAAAAAACCAGACACTGGTAAATCTTGAGAAAGATATAGCAAAGACCCAGCTTTAGTGCGTACCACGGCGGGGCATCTCAGGGCAAGCAAAGGACAGCCAGCCTAAGTGATGGCAGAAGGATGCGGGAACAAGGACAGCTCTTTTCAGCTTGAGATACTTGAGGGAGAGTTCAGGTGGCAGATCACAGCGGTAAAGCCAGGTGGAGAGGTCAGAGAGACCAGCCAGCTGGGTAGTTGCCAAGGAGGGAGAACAAAATGCCCAGCAAATGCTTTTAAGCTGAAAGCAAGTAGGCGGGCACATGGGCCTCAGTTAACTTGCTGGGTGCTTGGAGGTTTGGGTGGCTGTAGGCAGAGGAGAGCCGAGGAAGGGGCTGTGTTGACCAGAAGCTGGAGGTTAGGTGATATTAATGCTGGCAGCTTCTCCAGACACAGCGTGGAGCCTTCAGGAGAAAGCAGAGAATGGGGCTGAGCCGATGACAAGGGATGATTTGTCCCACAGGGAGCAAGTAGTCCTTGGAGGAGGAGGAAAGAGGCTTCTATTTTTGGCATATTTTACTAATAAAATTGTATTGCTATGATGAAGGTTTTGTACAGAGGGGTTACAATTCCCTAAGTCAGGCAATGAGGACAATTCTTTTTGGACAATGTCACCCCTTCCTTGTCTTCCCTCCAGCTTTCCCCTCCTTTCCCTGCCCACAGGTTGCTTAGTCATTTTTTTTACAGAGTGTCTACTGAATACCATGAGTGCATTTGTTCACCCTTCCTCTTTTCATTCTGCCGCCTGACTGGGAAGCTAAGAACCTAGAGACCCTGTTTCTGGGTCTCAGGTTCATTGTGGCCACTAGGTGGCAGCAAAGGAAGCATTTTTCCGGGCGCTTCAGGGAAAGGAGCTGCCAAGCTACTTCTACCTTCCTGTAGCTCATGACCTTATCCAGTACCCCAAGATCCTCAGAGAACACAAAGTGATCCTGTGGCTGGAAGCAGAAAGGCACATCATGGGAACATGCAGGATGCCTAGTTCCTCCTGTGCTGTACTCCTCCAGGCCTTGTCTATTCCTGCCAGTTGGCAATATTTGTTCCAATCTCATAGCTGGTCTCCTGGGTTCCCATTCTCTACCTGCTTGGCCTGATTTGCACTCAGCACTGGGGCTTCTTGTTCTTGTTCCCTTGATCCAGGCTCTAATACCACATTTGGAAATGAAATGCATGCATAACCAATAATGTTCCATTTCCCATAGCAAGTAGATCATGTAAAAGTTAGAGCTCCAAGAGGGGGAAAAGAAGATTAATTCCAGAGGCAAATGTCTTTGATTTTATATTGTAAAACCAGACAAAAGGTAGAGGTACCCAGAGCTTGGCCACAAGCCAGGATGGCTAACCTAAGTCAGGGCTGTGGTGGACCTGCTTGTGACCAGGGAGCCAGCAGAGTGGCCAGGGTTGGGAGGCCCCTTCCTTATTGTTCTTCAGAACCAGTGAGCCACCCTGACAGCCAGCCTCCCTGGTAACCTGTGTGAGTCCTGCTCAGCAGCTCTGGGCTTCCACCTTTCAGCTAGAAAATGAGCTTGATGGAGTTGGGTAATTCCTGTGAACACTAACAGGACCTATCCAAGCACAAAAGCTTCCAATGGCTTCCCTGGACCTTACCCTTGCTGCCTGGACCTGGATGTGAATCATCTGTCTCCTGAAACTCACAAGGAGGCAGTAGGGGGGAGCCTGAGGGACCAAGGGGAGCACCTGCCCCTGCAGGCTGTGCTCCGCACCTCCCCTCTCCACAGAGCCCCATACCCATCATTGGGCACACAGGTTCAACTTTGCTGGACATTGGGGTATAGCAGCTATAAATGTTGGTAAAGGGACGGTCCAGGGGCTAACTATGTCTTTCATTGCTTACCTCGCCCTCTTCTCTCGTCCCTTCCAGGTCCCTGAAGCAATTCGCAAGTGTCAGCGTGCTGGCATCACAGTCCGCATGGTAACTGGGGACAACATCAACACAGCCCGAGCCATTGCGGCCAAGTGTGGCATCATCCAGCCAGGAGAGGACTTCCTGTGCTTGGAGGGGAAAGAGTTCAACCGGAGAATCCGCAACGAGAAAGGCGAGGTAGCTCTGCCACCTCATGCCTGGTGCTGGCTACTCCCCTACTCCGCCCACCCTTCCCACCCCACCCCTGCCTGTTCACCTAGTTTGGCTCTGCAGCATCTATGTGCTTCCCCCAGATAGAACAGGAGCGGCTGGACAAAGTGTGGCCCAAGCTGAGGGTGCTCGCCCGGTCCTCTCCCACTGACAAGCACACTCTGGTCAAAGGTAACTGAGCCCATGTTCTGTCTTCCCTTGCGGGGGGGGGGGGCTGGCATGCTGTGTTATCTCCTCTTGGACACCCTAGGCCAGGCTCCCAAATTAATCTCCAGGGCCTGCCTAAGAAGCCAGGGTCATTGGCTCTAGAGCTATGCTTCTTGAGAGTGGTTGATAGAAGATTCCTAAGAAGCCAGGCACTGGTGGCTCATGCCTGTGATCCTAGCTACTCAGGAGGCTGAGGTCTGCAGATTGTGGTTCAAAACCAGCCCACACAGGAAAGTAGATGCTTATCTCCAATTAACCACCTGAAAACTGGAAGGGGCTCTGTGGCTCAAACTGGTAGACCAGCAGCCTTGAGCAAAAATGCTCAGGGACAGCAGCCAGGCATGAGTTCAAGCCACATGATGGACCAAAAAGAAAAAGAAAAAAGAAAGAAAATTCTTCAGAAAGAAGGGCAAATAGAGGCTGTCCACTCACTGGAACCGATGGGGAAACTGAAGCGCAAGTTAGAAAGGCATTTAACCAACCACTCCACCAAATCACACCACACTGCCTTTGTGGGTGAAGGACTGAGGTGGGAGGAGGGACTTGATCAGAACGGGACCTGGAATGTAAAGGATGCCCACTCCCACAATTCCCTTGGCCAGTCCCCCAGAGTGGTGATGACAGATGGCACCAGCCCTGCCCTGCCTCATTTTGTGTTCCAGGGATCATCGACAGCACCACCGGTGAGCAGCGGCAGGTGGTGGCTGTGACCGGGGATGGCACCAATGATGGGCCAGCCCTCAAGAAGGCAGACGTGGGCTTTGCCATGGTAAGGCACCAGTGCCAGTCCAGTTCACCAGGCAGATGAGACCTTGTGTCTCATGGACATTAGCTTTGTACCAGAAAGTAGGAGCCAGTGTCAAAGCAGATTGTGGAGCACTAGAAGGTTCTTTCCCTCCCAACTGGCCCACTTGGACCCATATAGGCTCAGAATATTAAGGGACAAGTCAGTGGGATCCAGTTACACCACTGACAAGGGCACCAGAGGCTGGGTGCCAGTGGCTCACGCCTGTAATCCTAGCCAATCAGGAGGCTGAGATCTGAGGATCAGTATTCAAAGCCAGCCCAGGCAGGAAAGTGTGTGATACTGTCATCTCCAATTAACTATCAACAAGCTAGAAATGGAGGTGTAGCTCAAATGGTAGAGTATCAGCTTTCGGTGGAAAACGCTAAAGGACAGTGCCCAGGCCCTGAATTCAAGCCCCAGTACTGACACAAACAAAAAGGCAGCAAGATTTGTCAATGATAGCACCCAAAGCAGACTCCTAGCCTCAGAGACAATCAGCAAAGTCTGCAGTGTATTCGTCCTCTGCGCTTTGATCCTGTTGCTCTTGTAGAGCTAAATTTTCCCCTTAAAACCTTGATGCTGATGAGCGCAGTGGTCTGCTAGACACTGCCCACACAGCTGGCTCTGCCCTGCGGGAACTGCAGGGAACTGCAGGGAACTGGGCTTGGCAGATGAAAGCAGCAGCCTGGACAGGCCTCATTCCCAATCCTAGCAGGAAGCAGCCCCCTTCACGCAGCGTATGTTTTATGTAGCCCACTGGGGGCCTAGTGCATCCTTCTAGGCGAGACCAAGCAGAGCTTGCCAGATGGGGGCCAGGCGTGGGGTGGGGTGGGTAGGGCCGAGCATCTTTGTAGAATTGTAGCTGCATCAGTATTCATATATATTCATATATTAGAGCAGACCAGTGGATGGGTTCCTTCCTGGCACCAGGGTCCCACGACCTCCCTAAGTAGGCAGTTTCTATAGAATGCTAAGAACAGACAGAGGACTGCGGTGAGGCCGCTTGTGGCAGCTGGGCTGTGTGTATGGCCACATCATCAGGACCCTCTGTTTTGGAGCAAAGGCTTCACCTCGCCATACAACAACTTTCTGTGTGTGGCTCAAGATTGGGTTGGATAAAAATAAGTACTGTTGAAGGAAGGGGTGATACTGTCCAAAAAGAAATGTACTCCTTTCCTGACTTATGTAACTGTATATCACCTTTATAATAACAATAAAAGTAAACATTTTAAACAAAAAATTAGGAAGGACTGTCGCCGGTTACTGGTGTCTTACACCTGTAATCCTAGTTATTCAGGAGGCTGAGATTTGAAGATTGTGGTTTGAAGCCAACTTAGGCAAGAAAGTACTTAAGACTCATCTCCTAAACAGCTGGAAGTACAGCTGTGGTTCAAGTGGTAGAGCACTACCCTTGAGCAAAAAAAAAAAAAAAAAAGCTCGGGGAAAGCACCAAAGCCCTGAGTTCAAGCCCCAGGACTGGCATTTAAAAATAAAAGAGTACTGTCTGCCCCAGGGAGACCTTATCTGGTAGGGAA